TGCCCTACTTCCACCTCTATAAACTGAGAAGAATTCCAAAAACCCCAAGGGAGCAGATAAAACACTTTCTTCGCCTCTTGAGATCCCATCTGGAGGCCTCTATATATAAAAAATCATTGATGATCAATGTATTTTGATGTATATTTTTACATGTTTACACGTAGCAGTAATGCTTTTTGGCCGAAAAGCGCTACTATTAGGTCGTTCAGTAATAGCACGTTTCTCTACAGCGCGCTACTGGGAAACGCGAGCGCGCATGGCTCTTCAACCCGTAGCAGCTCTTGGTCCAGGGTAGACTAACCCGCCGGGAGTACGTATCTAGACTAGCTGATTTGGACAGGCAAGCAAACCGCCACCTTGTAATTGTGATTGTGAGCAATCCAACTGTGCCGACGGTGAGAGCGAGCCACCCCACTGATGAGCGGCGCGCTGTATTTCCTTCAACGGCACGGACCAAGACCGCAGCCCGGCACAGTACGTGCACGCTTCGCTAGCTAGTATTTAACACAAAGTCCCGGGCGCGCTTCATTCCGCAAGATGAGCTCCTCTGCCTCTGTTTCCATGGGAAGCTTTCATGAGAGCTTGGGCAGCTTGCAAGAGGTGCGCGAGAGCGGCAGGACAAAGGACCTCGCGTGGAGGCGGTCGCAGCTCAGGGGACTCCTCAGGCTCCTCACCGAGAAAGAGGACGACATCTTCGGCGTGCTCCATGACGACCTCGGCAAGCACCGCGCTGAATCCTACAGAGACGAGGTGCGTGAAATCCGTGGTCATGCATGGGACTTTGTCAAGTTGTTTATCTTTTGTCCATTTTTGTAAAGATCGATATTGTTCATTTTGGTGGTCTTCAGCTGGGACTTCTTGTCAAGTCCGTCAACCACACGCTCCGAAACCTTGAGAAATGGGCGGCTCCAGAGAAGGCAAGCTCTCGCTACATCTGCATGCATCCATCCGCCTTTTCTTTTGTACTCTCTCTGTAAATTAATATATAGTGATGTAAACGCTCTTATATTAGTTTACAAAGGGAGTAAAAGCTTAATTAAGTTGTTGTTTTGGTGTGTGTAGGCTCAGGCGCCGTTGGTTTCTTTCCCGGCGACCGCGCTGGTGGTGCCAGAGCCGCTCGGCGTTGTGCTCATATTCTCCTGCTGGAATTTGCCATTAGGTGACACTAACTTCTTTGTTCCAGCACCACAAGTGTTGTGTTTTTATCTTTTTCCAAAACGTACGCACTACAAATGTTTCTTGTTAAAACCGAAGTTGGGGATTTTGCTGCAACGTCTAGCTACATTGGTATATCTTTTTAACTGGGCACAAATTTAAGTGGCGCAAACCAAGAATTCCTACCACGCAAACCAAGAGAAACTGCAAGTTAAACACCATCGAATTACCAGTAAATGGATACCCCACAATAGAAATAGAGTTGTTGTAGCGCGTTGGACACTTTCCAAGGAAGAGGATCATCGTAGCATCACATGTGAGTACTACTCCCTCCGTTCCTAAATATTTGTCTTTCTAGAGATCTTAACAAGTGACTACATACGGAGCAAAATAAGTTAGTCTACACTCTAAAATATGTCTATATACATCCGTATGTGATAGTCCATTTGAAATCTCTAAAAAGACAACTATTTAGGAACGTAGGGAGTCGATCCGAATGGACAACTTTAGCGTGGAAGGTGTGATGGAGGGTTTCAAACTTCAGCTTAGGTGTATAATCACAACCCTTTGATTCGTGATATCGGCGAAACCCAAGCCGTGTATCATGCTTGCTTGGATAGCTCGACTGCCCTTTCTCGATCACGCAACCTGGGATCCCTCTTGTGATTTGCCCTTTATCTGAGAACAACAAGATCATGTATTTCACAACCTGACTACTCAAAATGTGTGTGTGTACTGTTGTGCAACTCCTTTAGGGCACAGGTTAGCTTTTTTTTTTTTTGAAAAGAATGATGACCCCCCGCCTCTGCATCAGGGTGATGCATGCTGCCATTTTATTACTTATTCACCAAAACCTTAGAAAGTCTGAAGACACCATCTTGGCAATAACTATCGCTACTCCTATCAACTAGATGAAGGGGTTCTGATCGTCGGGGCCGCATACCCAGACCTCACACCAAAGCCCAACATCTAACGTCGAAGGCCCCAACCAAGCCAAATTGCCGGGTCTGGGTCACACACCGGTCCGGCTTACTATCAGCGGGCACCGCATGCGCACACTGCAGAGGCCGTCGCCACCATCTTCCATTGAACCATCTTCATAGCAGCTACTGACGCATCAACATTACCGGGTCCGCCGTCAACGCTACCACGGCGCCAAACAACGCCAGCTCCCTACGTGCGTCCTCATCACACATCCGTCGCCGAGACCCTACCGTGCCACGCCACTGCGACTCCACATCGTCAATGCGTCACATGAAATGCCGCTCCACCTACGTCCTACCGGGAGAGCGACACCGAGAGCGCCGCCATCGTCCGATCCGGGATACCCGGATCTGGGATTTCCCCCGGAGCAGCATGAGTGGTTAGACGGTGTCTGCAATGGGGATGCCTTCAACAAGGTAACGACGCGTAGACGCCACCATCCTGCCAGAGCTTAGTTTTCACCGGCAGCCATGCCTCCCCAACTCACCGCCGGGACTAGCCGTAGGATCTAGGGATCCGCCACAACCAGCCAGCCGACCACCTCTGGTGGAGCAGGAGGCCACCACCGCCACGCCCGGGGCCGGAGCCCTCGGTTTCCTCGTGTTGGGGGACGAACCCAGGAGCCCACGTGTCGTCGCCGGAGTCGACGAGACGCAACAGGTACTGCAGCATGGGTTGCGGCCCGTCCGAACCCATCTGAGTTCAGATCAGGCCCAACGACTGCCGCCACCGTCCGCTAGCCTTTGCGCCGTCCGCCGCCACCGCCACCCCACGTCATTGCCATTGAATGGCCGAAGCGAGCGCCATCGCTGCGATCCCAAAATTTGGCAGCAGTGCCACATGGGCTTTGACTCTCGGTGGCAGCAGCAACGGGAGGGGAGGACATGGCGCGGAGGAGATCTGGAGATGGCCGGCAAGGGCGCTCCGATTCGGCTCGGCGCAGCCGCACGGGAGTGAGATGGGGGAGGAGGGGAGACCGGATGCGGGAGCTTTGGTGTGCACACTAGTTAGCTGACACACGTGCTTATTAGATATCAATCATTAATTTTATACTAATCACAAATTTATTTGTAAAGATGACCTCCATTGCTATACAACTGACCTCAGAGAATTTTTTTTTGTTTCTATCTTCGTTCCTGTCCATAAACTAGGCAGTGTCCTTGGTCGTCCACAGGTATTTTTGGGATGTTTTTTTCGAAAGAAGGCAAAAGATTTGCCTTATATATTAATTAAGAGAGGAATAGAGAGTACAATACAGGACCCAACACACAAAGTGATTACTCTCTTGATAAGATGACACCTAATTTTTTTTCCGCCAGCGGTCACCCATAGACGAGCTTCTTCTTTTATGGAACGGAGGAAAATCGGCGGCGGCACACTCTTGTTGCGGAAAATCCGTGCATTTCTTTCCTTTCAAATAGCCCAACACACAGGCATGGTGATGGACACCATCGCCATCCTATTCGGGATGGAGGAGTCCGACCGCTTGACCCACAATCTTTCACGGGCCTCTCGAGAAGCCAAGTGTCGGTATCGATGATCTCTAAATGAAGCCAATCCTTAATCAAGATCCAAAGCCGCCTAGTGATGCTTCACTTGGAGAAGACGTCGGCACCAGATTCCTGCTCACGCTTGCACAGAGGTCAAATACCACAATTCGGCCAACCACGCCTGGCCAACCTATCTGCAGTCCAGAGCCTATCTTAAGTGGCCAACCAAGCAATGAATTTGACTTTTGGGGGAGCCCAAGATTTCCACACAGGATGCTCCATGGGGGATATAAGGTTCCCATAAAGTGACCCTAGTAGGCGGAAGCTGCGGAATATTGCCCATCATTTGTGTTCTTCCATACAATCTCGTCCTCGGCATGAGTGTCAAGCTGAAAGTCATGGATGATTGTCCAGAGGGCCACAAATTGGCGAATGTGTTCCAATGTGAAGTTCTCCGACAACTTGACCTTGGACACCCAAGCATCGTCGGAAAGAGCCTCCTTTATCTTCCACTTTTTCCTAACAGATGCCACAAAAAATGTGGGGCGCAATGTCCTTGGGCTTCCGGTTGTTTTTAACTACTGTCCAGTGACCTTCACGGATGCCATCTCAATATTTTCTAACATTCTGAGTGTAAGCAACGTCTAATTGAGTACATGATAAACCGGATGTCATGTGCATATATATGGAACATTCTTCATAGATTGTTGCTCACTAGAACTGGAAGTTCACTTACTCTTGCGAAGATGTATCTCGTGCGACATAGGAAACAACCCTCTCTTTTCCTCTTGGGTATCTAAATAATTCAACACCTTGTCCATGCAAGTGCCCCGACTTAATCCAATTAGCCCCTTTGATTTATCTAAATAGATTTTGATACTCAAGATCCCTTTTCGTTGCCCACACGAACGAAGAGTGCGTGTTAAACTGGCGCCTTCTTCTTCCTCCTGCCAGCTCCTCTCTTCTCTCTCTTTCTCATTTTCCTTCCATTTTCACGACCAATTTCTCTCGTTTCTCAGTCGTAGACAGAACCATCTGCCAAATCCATCAGAGGGTGGACTCTCCCGGTGGCTAAGACCCCAATCAATCAATGGGGTAAGCCGGGCGCACATGGAGGCGAACGGGCGTGGATAGGCCCATGGAGAACCGGTGGCGGAACTTCGCAGGCTGCGTCGGCTGCTGCAGAGTGTATGTGGCCTTGGTTATTGCTGCTGCTTAGGGGGAGGCGGCGGTGGTCGTTGAGACCAGCCTGTGGAGCTCCTTGACGGGTGCGATGTGCGTTCTGCACGGAGCCCCGGCAAGGCGCGGTGCAGATAGGTAACAGCTCAAAGCCGCAACGCACATTTTAAGGGTATAACACCATCTACTCCTAATTATCTTCTGAATATAGACAAAGTTTAAATGAAAGTTGGGGTTCCTGTAGGGGTTTGTCATTGGCCGTTGGCCCACTTTTAACTAAATAAAAACCCAACTCTAAAGGACACTCAAGGGGGTGGTATTTAAAATGGATAAGAGAGGATTTTGACCTGCCATGGAGGAGTTGACTGAATCTAACTTTGGGGATATTTCCTTCCTGAATACAAACTCTACAAACTATCTAATGTGTCTTAGTCTGAAATACATGGTACTTGGCCAAAATTGAGGTGGCTCCAGCCTATAGATAGCCATGGACGGAATTTTATGAAATGAAGTTTAGTTATTTTTCCCTAGTCTTCACATCATTATGGTGGTTCAATGTCCCAAAATGTACATTTCAAGCTCCTTCTCCACTCCTTCGATGGATGCTACTATCATATGCTTGATCATGCTCCAATGCTTGTCCCTATTATGTATGCTAGGACCTTCGTTCCTGAACAACAAAAACACGTCTAATTTATGCAGCATCACATGCTCATGATAATAAGGAATAGCTAATAGAAACGAAAGTACCTGTAAATGAGTTGCCGTGCGCGAGCTCTAGTGTGTGGTGCTTATATTTCACATACTTGAGCAACTCTGTAGCGTCAGTGTGTGTAATCACAAAGAAAAATTTCCTTTCACTAAAGCATCTTTGGAACGATCCATTTTTTCCATTGGTGCAATGTAGATACACTTTGGCATAAATTCAGTTATACAGGACTCAGGTGGGCAAACATTACAAACATGCATTTTTTCAATTTCAGTGTTTGTTGAACTTTTTGTGGGAATGTGTTTTTGAAATCTATGAATCGAAGAGGTGTAAAATCTGTACTAGGAATAGTGGTGAGATCCAAAATAGTTTGTCCTCGATTCTAGGAACAAATGTGGGATGCAAGTCCATGTCACCAACAAACGTGCACTACATTTTCGCCAGATTGATGTTTACTCATGGACAATCTAATTGTTTTCACACTATGTCAATGTATATAGTCGAAACATGTCGTGTTTGTGTCTCGCTCTTGTGTACAAGTTTTGCATTATCAATTCCTTATCATGTCTCCTGTTTGAGGAAAAGGATATTTACCTCATGTGGGTGTGGCGATGTACTGTAATGCAGGTTTGGCTCTGGAGCCACTCTCCGGCGCACTAGCAGCTGGCAACGCTGTGGTTGTAAAGCCATCTGAGCTAGCGCCATATACTGCAGCATTCCTTGCTGCCAACATACCGAGGTACCTCGATCCTAGGGCTGTGAAGGTCGTCTTGGGTGGACCTGAAGTTGGAGAGCAACTCATGGAGCTCAGATGGGATAAAGTTCTTTTCACTGGTAAGGACAAACTTGAAAAATCACGTCACTTCTCCACAGAGTAGTCATCAGAAGCGACAGATCATCAGCTTGTTGTTCTTGCGTGTCTGTATATGATGCTCATTTATTTATGTTGTCCAGGTAGTGCTCGTGTAGGGCGCACTATCTTGACGAAAGCAGCAAAGCACTTGACCCCTGTCGTGCTTGAACTTGGTTCAAAATGCCCATGCATTGTTGATCAGCTATATAGTAAGAGGGATAGGCAGGTAACTCTCAGGGTCTTGTCATGTTTTCAGTTGCAACAGTAGTCACATTGAATGACAGGTTTGATGTATATTCCATGTACTGGTCACACAGATTGCCGTGAATCGCATGGCGGGAGCGAAATGGTCAGTTTGTGCCGGCCAAGCTTGCGCTGCCATCGATTATATCCTGGTCGAGGAGAAATTTGCACCCATCCTTGTATGGTCCACTCTGATATCTCGTTAACTATATATAGTACTATAAAATCACATGACATAGATACTAGATATATCTTACGACTCTTGCTACTTGAGCATGGATTAATTTTTTTTTCTCTCTCAAGATTGGGCTACTAAAATCAACAGTCAAGAGGTTTACCACTACACCAGAGTGCATGGCCCGGATCCTAAATGCAAAGCACTTCCAGAGGTTAAGTAACTTCCTGGTGGATGATAAGGTGGCGGCTTCTGTGGTGCATGGTGGTTCAGTGAACCCGAAGACCTTGTAAGTTGTGAAAAATGTTTGCTTTAGTGTGTGTGCATGCTTCTTATGGATACAACATGTACATGGACATGTTGGAATTCATGCCTCATACCACTATGCCTATGCCGCAGGACCATTGAACCCACCATATTGTTAAACCCCCCACTCCATTCCGACATCATGACCGAGGAGATATTTGGTCCACTGCTACCGATCATCACGGTATGCCCAAATGGATAACGATACATGGCAGATTCTAATGCTAATCTGATATTGTATGTACATGTGGGCCTTTAGGTAAAGAAGATTGAAGATAGTATTAAGTTCGTCAATTCGATGCCGAAACCGCTCGCAATCTACGCTTTCACAAAAAACGAGAAGTTGAAGCATCAGATTATAGATGAAACGTCCTCTGGGAGCGTCACATTCAATGACGCAATTGTGCAGGTATGCAAACTTATCAACCTCATTCCTCCGACCCGCACGTGTTTTCATGGCATAAAACTCTGAGGTGTTCTCATTCTTTTTACTACTGATATCAACCTACTCGTGATTATTGTGTTGTTGCAGTACGCGGTGGAAGGCCTCCCATTTGGTGGCGTCGGGGAAAGCGGATTCGGACAGTACCATGGCAAGTACACCTTTGAGCTTTTCAGCCACAAAAAGGCGGTGTTCAAGAGAAGCTTCCTGATCGAGTTCATGTTCAGATACCCGCCGTGGGATGACACTAAGACTGAGATGTTGAGGCGTGTCTATAATACGAACTACATACTTCTACTCCTCGGCCTGCTCGGCCTGAGGAGATGACTGAAGAAACAATCTGGACAAAAAGACCGGGGACGAGAGAGAGAGAGAAGCTACACCGTATGCACCAAAGCATATGCATTACATATTGCTTCCATTCCAAAATATGCTGCGTCCGCGCTTTCCGAGGTCCAACTTTGACCATAAATTTAACCAACGAGACCGACTACAGCGGGTGAAAAAAATATTGAAAAATTCTTTTGAATACGAATTCATTGGTATAACTTTTGCTGCCGCCACAGTCGATCACGTTGGTGAAATTTGTGGTTAAAGTTGAAGCATGGGAATAGAGGAAGCACTATATTTTGGAAACGGAGGGAGTACAACATAAGTTCTATATACTATTTAATTGGATTGCAAAATTGGATTGTGTACATGTGTAACCTATTCCTATAAATGTTGTGATTCCTCAACGGTTGGACAATTTGTTATTTAGGATAACAACCCTGAACCCTAAACTCTAAACCCTAGACAAATTTAGGCAGGATCTAGGCAAAGAGAAAACCTTTGAAATTAAACTAGAATTTAATAAGTAAGACTCAATCTGTGGTTACTAAAATGTGCTACATTGAACTTATTTAATAATCTGATACAGAATAATATATAGCCACAAAAGGATAATATTTTCTAGCCAAAAGATGAAATATTGGTGGAGCAAACTAAAACATGATCCATGCCTGGGTCTCCAATGAGAAGGTTTGGGAACGTGTCTAGATTGGCTAGATGCAAGCTGCTTCCAACTTCCGCTTGACGAGGCTGATGATGATGAGGGGACACGATCGTGATAACCATAGTATCCCTAATATTGTGAACTTGGCGAGTAGGTATGGAATCCCTCCAATCCAAACCATGGAACCTTGTAGGGCTGGTACGCAGGCATGTTATAGGTCTTGGAATATTCCGGAGAGGATACGGCACTCAAGCTGGATACCACTTCTCGTGCATAACCATGGACGTCATAGTATCCGCCGCTCACATATCTAGGGACGCCGATGCAAGCTTCCCCTTGACATCCTACATAGTTGGGGTCATACGACGAGGACTCCATCCCGTCGTAAGATCATGTCCCCTGCTGATGAAAATGTTGCGATACATCTGTTATGATATCATAACATCCACTAGTGGAAAAAGGGCATTAAACCCGGTTTCAAAGGGCCTTTAGTCCCGGTTCTTAAACCGGGACAAAACAATCAAGACTAATACCCAAAATCTTTAGTTCCGATTGGCTTATGAATCGGGACCAAAGATGCTCCACGTGGCCGCTGTGGGCGCCCAGACAAGAGATCCTTAAGTGCTGGTTGACCA